CACATGACATGCGTGAGAAGCTGGAATGTTCCGTGAGAAGCTGGAATGTTCGAATTTCCTGTTGCCGCACGGCCGCGCGCGGCGACTGGCCCCCCTCGAGCCACATAGCGCCCATGGAAAAGCAACAAACATGTTGTGCGACAGTTACGATCGCTGTTGTCGGACGACCGACTATGCATGTGCCTTCTCACTCTCATGGCCTCGTTAGCCCAGGAAAGTGGCGAGAGTCAATTTTCAAATGAGCCCCGCCATTTCCAAACAGTGTCGAATCGCTGGTACATCGTTCACACCGCTGGTGCACAGCTCCTATCTCTGCGAATCCAGCGATTACTAGCGAGTCGCTGGATTCGCAAAGTCTGAACCGGCCTCACATGTGGCGTGCGAACTGTGCTCATGGAGCGTTTTCAAAGGTACCTGCAACAACGGTGTACGAATTGGCCGCACCCACCTCGGTCATCCCCAAAGGATGAGGTCAGTCACGGAGCCGGCACATTCCGCGTGTTAAGCGCGTCACTGTGTCTCAGAACGAAAGTAGCTATATCTGGCAAGAATTCTTTACACATTGACGCCAATGTGGAGCTCACTTCCCGACTTTTTACATGTAGAAGGCTCGTTTTGCTTGGATTGTGCGTCCATTTTTATGTGGAAGAACTGTTCACATCCAACCGGTACGAAAAATAGTATACTTATTATTAATAATAAATTCTCGATGGAATAGTTAATGATGAGAAATTGAGGTCTCATCCAGTAAGCGGAACGTTGTGGCGCAGTCTACAGCAATGCCAATTTGGCTGAGAGCTTTAGAGTTGTGAATTCAGGTTTTTTTTTCGTATAATGGGTGTGGGTTCTTTTGCTGGATAACACGGACGTCTATGGAATTAATATTCACCTGGTGAGCAGCTACGACTGAGCTTAAAGGAGGAATTCACGATTAGAATGAAGGTCGAAGAAAGGGAAACTGACCTAGTTGAGGGACCCACGGACCTCCTGAGGGTGCGAACTGACGCGCAATTCGCATGGAAAAATTTGACCTCGGCGACCTATCATGCCTCAAAGCTGGCGGGTCCGGCGATCTCCGCCCACCGATCATCTGATCACTCGCCGTAGTTCAATACGTGGCGAGTGATTAGATAGCTGAGAGAGCGTAGTGTTGAAGAGGGCACAGCGATGAGAGTCGCATCAATGCTCAAATCAACGGGCAAGGAAGGGGTCCCATTTCTCGGGTTCTGGGCCGTTTCTCATGGTTCTTCCTTCTTTCGTGTACCACTCACCATCCCTAGGTTAATTTGAAATGGGTTGCTTTTTCATCGTGAATTCGTCCTTTAAGTTATGCTCAGGCTTAGGCTTATGTTTAAGTCTAGGATTAGGCTTTCGCTTGCAACAAGCAGTTCAGGACTGATTTACTTTGAAGTGACCTGCACTGACGAGGACAACTGACATGCACT